TAACGTTACAATGCCTTCAATGCAAAAAGCTGAAATATTTGCTTTCATAATTTCCGCTTTTATACACTCTGAAGACGTCTTTTTAAGGAGAATGCTCTTTCAAATCCCGTTTTTGCAAGTGGGCGACTCTCAGTATTGGCTGATTCTGGTTATGTTGAAGGTTCCTGTTCTTCTGGTAATCAAAAATTAATAGAGTTTTATATCGCTACATCGAATGTTATTGTATTTTTATATATTTCACTCAATTTTTACAGGAGAATATGTCTATTATAGGTGATTCTGCTGTTCTGCATGAGCGGACTAATACTTACTGTCCGCATCCACCGCAACATTCATCCCACAAGAGAGTTAGAAACATTGCAGTTGTAAGTGTTGGCTGCACAAATGTGCTTTTGAAAGTCACCATCTTTCGTTAAGGCGCAATCTCCTTCGTGCTTGAGCCCCTTGGGAAAAACTTCGCGGATAGGGTGTACTCCTACTTCCATCGCTCCTGCAAATGACCTGGACGTAAATGACGTTTGCAGGTACATGTTATACGCCTAGGAAGAAGCTACGCCAATACTCAAATACTTTTTTTAGGACTGAATCCGCATGGAACTATTTTACGCAGCGAAGCTCCTTGTGGTCGGAGGTGGGAATTGCATTGGCGGTAAAAGGTCCCAGGACAGTTGAATCAGATATCGTGCACGGAATCTCATTGTGTACACCGGATGGTACACCACACTACATACCCTTGAGCGATGAATATTTCCCAGGTGAGCATGTACTGACCATTTTTTCAACTTTCAGAAAGCGTTCATACGGTAAATGTTTATCATCCCTGTTTTCAGCCAGCAGCACAAATATTTTGCAATACTTTTAAGATTTTGCTCCTTTCAAACTGTACTAAACGGCAAAGGAAAAGTCTGATGTTTTTCCTATTAGTCAGCGAGACATGCAGTTAAAAGTGTAAGCTTTGATTCAAACGAAACAAATATATCTGTTCCCTCCTCTTTTCAATGGCTAGACTGAAGTCCTTTCAACCATTCATATCATGCCCTCAGAGACTTTCTTTTTCTGCAGAAGCTTTTCTAACACTCCTCTTCAAGTTACTTTTAAGATTTTATGTAAGCTATCCAGTCACATCTTTCACATCTTGTAGTTTATTGTTTTTTCAAAGATTTGAAGATTGAAAATTCCATTGAAAATAATTTTCTGAACAGGGTTTTTTAAGTTTGTGTGGGAGGTAGCAAAAATATTTTAGTTTGATAAAAGAATATTTGATGAATATAGCTCGGCGTTAGCTGTTTCAATGAATAACACGTATGCTTTTTTAATTTCGTAACGTTGCAAGAACGTGATTGTACTCATTGTGTCACAATTTGTTACGCATATGTATTTGTTTTCGTGTCAGGGTTTTCGGCACAAATTTAGAACTTGCATTACAGAAACAATATGGAGAAGTCTTAGCTCAGTACAAGCAGAAAGAACACATACTCGATGGTTTGTCTGTTAACCAAAGCCGACACATTTCCAAGACCTGTTCGATTGTCTTTTTTGAATTTTAGGATTTTGAGGTTCGGTAGGAAATTGATAGATAGTGTTATTTGGCGTGCTAACTACGATTACCATATCCATGCATAGTAGGGACTTACTGTAGGATTACGGCAAGAAGATTTAAAGCAATATCATGAATTTGGCTTAAAAGTAGTATAATGGGAATTTGAAGTCCTAATTTCGAAAATCGTAACTATTTTGCATGGTAGAGACATTGTGCACGATAGACGAAAAATAATCCAATTTCTTTCTTCCACGCAGGTCAGCGATTTTGATCACTCCACCGTTATCATACTTTTATGAAAAGTCTTTCAGAATAGATACAGTTCTTGTGATCAGGATTTCAGTTAACTCGTTAGACTGCTTTTCTGTTAAATTTGTGGCATTGAGCTCATGTCCTTTACCTACTGTAATCCCACACGAAGATGATATTGTTCAGAACGGATATGATTTTCTAATTAGCACGCCAAGTAATCCCATCAGTTAGAAATTTAGCGAGTTCTAAAATCCGGAGCATATCGGATTAGCTTTTCCTTTATTCTTTAAAACAGTCCTGCAATGATTTGCAGGTCATATGGCGCGAGTTGGCTTTAACTGTCAAACGAAGACTTTGTAGAGCAGAATCTATTCTTTCTGGAGATGTAGCATCCATCCTGGACTTTTTTGAGCCTGTAATGAGTTGAAATAATCGTAAGCTAAGGTAACGCAGTAGCTGGTTGACATTGCATCTATATAGTATTGTCAGTACCAATAATTACATAGACTACAGGAAATAAAGTTATTCGTCGGTCTATGCACCTAAGAATATTATTTTTACGTAGATATTCTTTTAAGGTAGTGATGCCGAAGAAGCGCTTTGTCCTTCCTTTACGCCTTCACAATCGATATCACTGAATGAAAGATTGTCTTGCATTTCTTCCATCCTACAGTCGTGTGAAGTCTCATTAGTAGACGCTCTAACTGACTGCCATCTGCTCTGGAGAGCTTTCAAGTTGAAGGTGTCTTGTTAGATTTGTGCCCAGCTCTCATTTTTTCAAACACAAATTTCTAGGTTTGTCAACCTTTTCCCGTATCATACGTGGCATTTCTTGCACATATGCGGGAAGGTGATCGACCTCTTAGCATTCGCGAGATTGCTGCTAAATTCAAGTGGGATTACAACGTGGAGAAACTTCTTAGGATGAATCCTCGAATAAGTTCAGCCGTGCAATCGTACTTAGCCTCCAGGTACTCTAGGTATTCTTCTCATGCGAGATTGTAGTTCTCGTATATAATGCGTCGCTAGAGTCTGTGTTTCAATCAGTTCACTTTAGGCTTAAGAAGCGTCTAATTTCGCTTGCAGTTAATTGTTCGTCGGAAGCGAGTGTTAAGCTGGAGGTTCGATCATTGCAGGTAAATTTTTGTTTCAAAATGTTAAGGCACTCACATTAATATCTATCTCAAATAATCTTCGAAGATAGGGAAAGCAATCAAGTTTACGACAGTGTCTATGTGTGCTATATTATGACACATGCAGACGGTTTTCTGCCATAGAAGGTGTGCTAGTTATTAGTTTTAAAACTTGTAACACATTTTCATGTAATTTTTTAACTCTGGCCAAACTGGAATGTGGGACGGATGATTTTGAAAGTAGGAATATCATAGGTAAGGTGTGTTGACACCTTGCATACAACATGCTGATAAGTGTAAATATCCTCGCCATCCATGTCTGAGTCAAGTTGTATTCAGCCTTGTTATATAAATTCAGGTTCCACTGTACTTGTTTATAAAAAAATGAGCGTTCATGATTTCTATCCATGCTCATATTCACACTCATGTGTTTACTCAATATGATTTCATACAATAATCTTCTTAGGATTTCGACCACATTGTCCTCTTAATCCTATACAAAGCTTGAGGAGAAATTTGCTATGTCTCTATCTAAATAGGAAATAAGGATTGTTTTTACTAAATCACCTTGATATCCTTTTTACTCTTATCTTCTGCCCTTTCGCCATCTTGTACAACTCTGCGCTTCAGGTCATCAACAAAATGTGTTTGGATGGCTTCCTTTTTAACGATGCAATGTGCTCGTTGCTGGTAAAGAAATTAAAAGAAAGGACAGAGCGTATAGAACTGGGATGTTTTGAACTGGCTGGAAGTACTTTCAACCTAGACAGCCCTTCACAAGTTGCTGCAGTAGGTATTAACTTTTTTTCATGCAGGAATAAGTGCTCAAATTCTCACTGTTCATAAAAAATCTTAAAGTAATATTGATTTAAAAGACTGCCGTAACATAATATTGTGAACATCCCCAGGTGCTTTTTACACGTTTAAAGCTCCCACATCCTGGTGGCGCGACGTTGAAGAAACATATGTCAACAAATAAGTCCGTTCTGGAGCAAATGAAGTTTCAACATCCCATTGTAGAGAAAATCTTGGAATATCGTCGCCTTAGGCATGCTATAAGCGTAAGTAAATTGAACGCAGCACACTTTGAAAATATCATCAAGCAAAATTCAGCAATGTATCGTACCTCTGCAACGATTTGTGTGCGATGATGGGTTTGTGAGATCACGGTGTGAGATGCACACTTCAACGGGTAGAATTTTAACTTTCGAGCCAAACTTGCAGAATGTTCCCAAAGATGTAATAATAGATGAGATCAGTCTTCGGCATTTGTTCACAGCGCGGCCAGGTGAGTTGACTGAGCATAAATATTAAGTTTCAGTTTCAATAATGGATTTTGCGAGAAAATGGATAGTGGAGTGCACAATTTCAGGTTGCGTGCTTATCAGCGCTGACTACAGCCAGCTTGAACTGCGTGTCCTTGCACATCTGAGCGAAGACGTTTCTCTTATTGCTCACCTCAGTCACAGTAAAAATTTGCAGCATTGACTTTACAATCTACTTAGAAGTCGTTCAAAATATATTCAGATCGCGATATTTTCCAAGAGTTATCTACAAAGTGGCAGGTGTCACGGGAGACCGTGAAAAAGCTCTGCTATGGTATCATTTATGGAATGGGTGGTAAGACTTTAGCGGAAAATATCAAGAAGTCAGTTGAGGAGGGCAATAAATTGATGCAAAGCTTTTTCCAGTCGTTTCCTAGTTAGTTTAACACCTCATTGTACAGAAAAAATAAATTTTTATTTTCTCTGATTTTTAAAGTTTAGGGGTGCGCAGTTATATCAACAGTACAAAGGAGAAAAGCGTAAGCGCTGGATATGTCACTACTTTCTTAGGTACAAACTTTTTTATTTAGCAAACATAAGTTATTATTGCAGAACGTAATCATCTTAGGTCGACGACGAGTGACTTGCAGTGCTAAAGGGCGTCAGGAGGATGTAGCGAGGGATGATCGACAAAGTATAAACTACACAATACAAGGAACTGCAAGTGAAATTTTCAAAAAAGCACTTATCAGATTAGAGGATACGAAAAAAGGTGAATGCTGAGTGTTTAAATTACAGCCTCATAATGAGAGAGGATTAAGGTTTAATTTGACTCAGCAATCAGATCGAGCGTTTGATTCCACTTTCTCAGTGGCGTTCCGCTAGAAATACAGCATTTGACTGTGATTTTTTTTTGTTTAGGCGCCATTGGTGTCGTACTCACAATTCATGATGAAATCATTATTGAATGTGCAGCCGACGTTGAAGAGGAGACAACGCTGTGGATGCGTCAATGTCTAGAAAATGTCTTCCCAGATTTTAAAGTTCCTTTGCCAGTAAAGATTCGCTCTGGACCGAATTGGGGATCACTCTCAATCAAGTAGTGATAGTAGTGATTTAGCCCGGAATGGGTTTCATGTTAATGATAGTTAGCCAGTTCTATGGTTTCTAATGGCTTATCTGCTCAATACTTGTAATCTGATACTCGCGTCACTGTGATATAATAATAAATTATTT